AAACAACTTGAGGGAAATCATTGTTTTTTTCCTCTTCGTGCCCTCTTGGGAGTGCTCTTGGAGACTTCTTGGAGCGTCTTGGCAATCTCTTGGGCCGTCTGGAGGCTACTTTACGCGAGATGGGGGCGCGAATCTCATGTATTTTGATAAGTCTCGCGACTCCGCAGGAATCCAGGCAACACGACCCAGGCATGTTCAAATCCCAGTTTCTGCCCCCCTCCCCCCCATTGCGCGGACAGTAACATATTAAAGTCGGATGTAGAATTGCAACATCGGAGACTTGAAACTGGAACTGGAGCAGGTAGCAGCAAGCCTAAGTTACGCAGCCAGATGGCCCCGCATGGGAGGGGGACCAGCGGACTGAATTTGTGAATAACAGGGCTCCCACGGTCGTTCATTCATTCGAAGCGGTGATGAGCAGGAGAAAAAGATTAAGCAGTAATGAGCAAGAGGAGAAGGCGGAGCATGAGGAGGAGGAGGAGGAGAAGCACGAGCAGGAGGAGGAGAAGCATGAGGAGGAGGAGGAGGTGGAGGAGGAGGAGCATGATGATGAGGAGGAGGAGGATGAGCAGCAGAAGGAGGAGGAGGAGGAGGAGGAGAAGGATAAGAGGAGGAGGAGGAGGAGGAGAGGAGGAGTATGGAGGAGCATGGAGGAGGAGGAGAAGAGCAGGCAGGAAGTAGAGGCGTATGAGAGGAGGAGGAGGAGAAGGAGAGAAGCTGGAGAGGAGGGCATGAGGAGGGGAGGAGGAGGAGGAGGAGGAGCAGGAGAAGGAGGAGGAGGAGGAGGCGGAAGAGGGGAGGAGGCTAACAGGATAGGAGGAGGAGGCGGAGAGGAGGGAGGAGGAGTACGAGGAGCATGAGGAGGAGGAGGAGGAGGAAGAGGAGGTGGAGGAGGAGGAGGAGGAGGAGGAGGAGGAGGAACAGCAGCAGGAGTGCGATGAGGGCTCGCCTCCCGGACCCGCGGTGCAGGACCCGATCCTCTGCAGGAGGTCGCGCAGGTCGTGTCCGCGGCAACGAAGGCTGTTTGCTGTGCCTGCTCTGATGGGCAAATGTTCCACCACCACTACCATATGCAGGACGGGGGAGAAGGGAGGCTGGGGAGGTCCTGCTCCTCCTGCTCCTCCTCATCCTCCCCCTCCCTGTCCTACCCATGGTTGTGGTGGTGGAAAATCGGCCCATCATGCTCAGCCCGGCGGCAGGGAAAGTGGGGCGAGACGCGGTAGGCATCGTAATTTCCGGGCTTCCCACATGGGGCCAGAGCAGACGGGTTCTCGATCCTCCTCCTCCTCCTCGTCCTCCCTCGTCCTCCCGCATCCTTCCTCATTCTCCTCCCCTTGCTCCTCCCTCATCTCTCCCCCTCGAGGCCGCTCACGGCCGCCCGCGACGCCCGCCGCTCGGAGCTGGCCAGCCAGGTCGCCCCGCATCGCCGATGACTCGGCGATGCGGCGCGACCTGGAGTGCGACGCTCGACATCCGAGCATTATTGATGCCTCGTCGCTGTGCTGCGATCTGGAAACTTACTTTGCTCTGGCCCCGGTCAGAAGATGTTTACGGATGGCAGGAGAAGTGGGGCGAAGCACAGCTGGCACTCCGTAAACCGAAGAGATCCCCGTGATGGTCGTCTGACAGCAGTTGGATGGTGTTGCGCATTCTAGCGGCCTGGAAAACGTTGATCCTTGTGGCCCAGCGTTACTTTCAGCATCATGATTGCCTCGCGCAGCCGAATCATAACAGGCGTAATTCGGTGGGTATATCGCTTGAAGTTGAGCCCTCAGAGCGGGATCCCCTCCATGGTGATGTGAGCCGGCGTGCACATTTGTGCAGGTATAGGCACGTACACATCGGTCGTTGAAAGTAAGTATTTAGTACGCCTTGATTCCAACCGATTGAAGGCGCCTTCCTACTTGAATCATCGAGTTGTGCTCCTTTTTCCTTCCTATGTGGGGGTCGGGCAGAAACCCAGTCTACTTTGAACGCCTTCCTACTTAATGTGTCTACCTACTTCCTCCGCTCGATGAATGTTGCTTGCTTGGGTCTTGTTTGGGCCTGTCGACATGCCTTGGGGCCGCCTTCTACCCAGTAGCATATCATTGGAGCCGCGCGTGCCATCTTAATTCTATCATCAGCGTCGAGTGGGGTCTGAGGGCCGATGAGACAGCGCCGATGCAGCGTCGAGTCGCAGAAGAGCCCACAAGATGGGGCGAGAGGCTTCCACGAGTTGCCCTCGACATTTTGGCCTCGGAGCCCCGCCGCGCCCGTGCGGTGACCTCGAAGTCCCCCAAGGCCCTCGCCGCACGGTCCCTCAACGCACGGCTGTTGGGGACCTCGGAGGCCCCTGGCCGCCCGAGACATCCTCGAAGAGGGACTCGAGTCCCAAAGCCGTGCGGTGACCCCTCGTCCCCACCGGCTCACCGCACGGTGTGGTCACGTCACCACACCGTGTGGGGGCCCCCGAGATTGCGCCAGCGCGGTCGGCGACGGCGGCGGGTGGCCGCGCGAGGCGACCCGAGGTCGCGGGGCGACCGTGGCGGGTGGCGGCGGCCGCCGCGGCGACGACGCGCGCTTCTCGAAGAGGAAAACGCGCGCCACTCGAAGAGGAAACTCTCGAGTACTTTTAAGTCGGGCCTGCTCCTACAGGGGGACTTTCGACGAGAAATAAAACATACCCCAAAAATAGTCCAAAAGTGGTCTGGTATTATTTTATACGTATTTTTTTGACCATTTTGGGGCATTTTTAATTTTTCGCCTAAAATCCCCCTGTAGGGGGACAGGCCCGACCTAAGAGTACTTCAATGCAGTCACAAGTGGGGGCTGCGGGATCGCCGGTAGGTCAGGACGCCTGCACTGGCGCCTGGTATCCACGCCCGGCGACTCGTCTCGGGCGCCTTCGGGGCTGACCTGTCTCTTTGAAGCTCCGCGCGCAGTCCTTGGGTCGGCGCTGGACCCCGCGCCGGAGGCGCCGCAGGGGGGGCTCCCGGCGCCGATCCCAGAACTCCGCGCGGGGCGCCGAGAGTTTATGATGTTTGTGCACGCTTCTTGCTCTGCCTTCCTGGCCTCCTCCCTCTGGAGAGTTTCTCCGGAGGGCATAGGCGACCCGTCCTCCTCCTGCTGCTCCTCCTCCTCCTCCTCCTCCTCCTCCTCCTCCTCCATCTGCTCCTCCCCCCCTCCTCCACCTCCCCCTCCTCCTCCTACTCTCTCCTCCTCCTCCTCGCTCCGCTCCACTCCTCCTCCTCTCCTCCTCCTCCTCCTCCTCCTCTACCCTCTCCTCCTCCTCCTCCTCCTCCTCCTCCTCCTCTCCTCGGGTCGCCTGCGGCCCCGGGGGAAACCGTGCACCGCGCCCGCGCTCCGGAGGCGTAGGCGGCGGCCGCGGCCGAGTGAGAGGCCTCGGGAGGGCCGGCGGGGCTCCCCGCGGCCGCGGGGCCGCGCCGCCGCCCTCCTCCCCTGTGGTCCCAGCCTTCCTGCCCGGGTCCTCCCGCGCCTCGGCCCCGCGCTTCCTCCCGCCCTCCTTGGCGGTCGCCCTTCCTCGCTCTTGGATGCTCTCCCGTCCTGCTGCCGCTACTGCTTCCCTCCCTCCCTCCCTCCCGCTGCTGCTCCGTCCTGCCCGGGTCCTCCCGCGCCTCGGCCCCTTGCTCCCTCCCACCCTCCTTGGCGGCTCCTCTCGAGTATACAAGGGCGCCCTCGAGGGCGCGAAGTTATTGGCGCTTCGCGGCTCGGCGCCGATCCCTCATCCTCCTTTTCTCCCCTGGGAGGCGGCGCGAGAGCGCGAAGGTATTCGCACTTCGCGCTTCGCGCAGCGCGAAGCGCGAAGTTGGGAGCCCTGGGGTAAGGGGACCCGGTTAGTAGTAGGGCCCCGGAGCCCCCCGAAACTGGCCAGAATCATTACACCAGGTCTCCCGTAGCTGGTGTTTTTGTTCGGGTGACCGCAGTGCCGGTTCGTGGAACGGGGCGGGGGGGGGTCCTCTGGTGCACATCACTAAACCAGGTCCCATTAAACCCAGCTCTGCCAACGCCCGAGCCTCCCCCGCCCTCCTCGCTCCTGGATGCTTTTTCCCGTCCTGCTGCTGCTCCTTCCTCCCTCCCTCCCTCCTCCTCCCGCATCGTGTCGCTTCCGCCGTCCCCAGCCTCGGCGTTTGCCTCGTCCTTCCGTCTGCCTGTGCGCGAGGCGGACTTGAGCAGCTAGGCTGTAGCGTTCTGGTGGCAAGGAAAATGAGTAAAACCGCCTAAGGACAGACGAATTAAGCGTTGCACCAGGTGCGAAGAGAAACGGAATTGTGGAGAGCCCGCGAGGGCAGAGTGTGTTAGACCTGCAGGTGTCGGCAAGGTAGTTCCTGTCCCTCCACTTGCAGCAGCATTACCACCACCTCCTCCCCCTGAAAAGATGCAGGCGCCAGCATGTACAACTCCGCAGTATGCGAATGATCCTCCAACACCAACACCACCCTCCTGCCCGCTCAGCCGTCTGGTCTTCGTGTTTCTCCTCGTCGGCCTTGTCCCTTCCCTCTCCCCTCTTTCCTCCTCTGTCCTTACCTCGCCCCCTCTTCCCCATCGTCTCGCCTCCTCCTTCCTCCCTCGCCCCTCCTTCCCCTCTCCCCTTCCTTCTTTCCTCCTCTCCCCATTCGCTCTCCCCTCCTCCCTCGCCTCGCCTCCGCCTTCCTCCCCATCCCCTCCTTCTCCTCTCCCTGCCCCCTATCCCCGCTCGCAGGGGGCGAGGGATGGGGCGACGCGTGGGAGTGCAATGGGCAACGGGAGAGGGAGGCGCGCGGGCGCAAGATTGCCAGGGAAGGACGAGGAAAGGAGGAGCAAGGGGGCGAGGGGGACGAGGAGGAGGAGGAGGAGGAGGAGGAGGAGCAGGAGCAGGAGCAGGAGCAGGAGAAGCAGGAGGAGGATGAGGAGGAGGAGGAGGAAATGGAGTACGAGGAAGAGAAGGAACAAGGGGTCGAGGAGGGGAGCAGCAAGGGGGCGAGGGGGGGAGGAGGTGGAGGTGGAGGAGGAAGTGGAGGAGGAGGAGGAGGAGGAGGAGGAGGAGGAGGAAGAGGAGGAGCAAGGGGTAGAGGAGGGGAGGAGCAAGGGGGCGAGGCGGAGGAGGAGGAGGAGGAGGAGGTGGAGGTGTAGGAGACGGAGGAGGAGGATAACCATGAGAGGAGGAGGAGGAGGAGGAGGAGGAGGAGGAGGAGGAGGAGGAGGAGGAGGAGGAGGAGGAGGAGGAGAGGATCGAATACGAAACAACTATGTGCAGATGGGCGCTCGGAGCGCGGATCTCCGAAATTGTATTATTATGCGTGCGTGTGTTCCTCTTGGGGAGGATCAGAGCATGCCCCGCAGAAGGCTCTGATGTTTCAATGAACCCTTCAATCCCAAGTCCCATCCCCATGGGCCATCCCAAGTATATCCTTCGAACAGTGCGAGCACCCGCTCGAACGGCGAGACACTCATAGATTTACATAGCAAGAGCCAGTGCGTGATGACATGCGCATCCGCCATCAGAGCGAGACGACACAGAAACGAACCGCCCTCCACCGGTGAAACCTTGAGAGATGCTGACGACGCGTGTCTGCGGCGTTGAGACAACAGCTTCAGTTTGAGATCGGACGGCCACCCACCCGTGCAGCGGTTGGAACTTGTACTCTTCAGGGTCACGTATTTGTGTGCTGCGAAAGTCTCACGCAGCGGTATTGGGCTGTCTTGCCGACATGTCTGGTGGTGGCCCATCCGTTCTGACGACTGCATCCCCGTTTAAGCTCCCATCGCCAGCGCAGTCACCCTCTGCCTAGCCGCCGACGCAAAAACAATCGAAGGGGAGTGATGGAGTGTGATAACGGCGCAGGGGATGTTTGGGATGAAGATCTCGCGCAGCGGAGCGAGTAATGAGGAGGTGCGGGAATGCAGCCGTTGGTTATCCCGTTCCATGTGTTGTGTGATGGGCTTGTTTTCCACCACCACCACCATAGGTTGGAGGGGGGAAGGGGGTGGAGGATTAGGAGGAGGAGGAGGAGGAGGAGGAGGAGGAGGAGTAACAGGGGGAGGAAAACCCCACCATCCTCCTACTTATGGTGCGGCGGTGGAAAACAAGCCCACCATTGTGTAGCAGGTTCCCCCGCCCCGCCCCTAGTCGTCGCGCCTCATGACGATCTCGGGAGCTGCGTGTGAGGAGGCCGCGGAGAGGCAGGGCAGTGATGGCGAGGAGCGGAAAGGAAGGAAAGACGAGGGGAAAAAGGAGGAGGACAGCGACGACGCGGATGAGAGCGACGAGGAGGACGAGGAGGCGGAGGAGGAGGAGGAGGAGGCGGAGGAAGAGGAGGAGGAGGAGGAAGAAGGAGGAGGCGAGGAGGAGGAGGAGGAGGAGGAGGAGGAGGAGAAGGGTGGGGGAAGAGGGGGGAAGCACGGGGGGCAGCGAGGAGGAAGAACGGGGCGGGGGGCGAGGGCGAGGGCGGGGCCCAGCTGGAGGAGGAGGAGGAGGAGGAGGAGGAAGAACGGAGTGCTGGTGGAGAAGGAGGCGTAAACGAGGAGGGGCGGAGGAGGAGGAGGCGGAGGAGGAGGAGGAGGAGGAGGAGGACGACGAGGGGTAGGAGAGGAGGAGGAGGAGGAGGAGGAGGAGGCGGAGGAGGAGGAAGAACGGAGAGTTTGGTGGAGGAGAAGGAGGCGGAAAGGAGGAGGCGGCGGGGGCGAGCGCGGTGGGGAGCAAAGGCGGCATCTCAGCAGGAAACCGCGCGCCGAGAGGCGGGAGGGGGGACGCGAAGGGAGGAGGGGGGAGGAGGGACGAGGAGAGGGGACGAGGAGGCGGAGGAGGAACATTAAAGGGGAGGGGAGGGACGACGGCCCAGGGGTAGAACGGGGAGCGAAGACGAGACACCCTCCCCGCCCGCAGGCCGCCTCGCTCACTCCCACCCGCCCTCCCAACACAGCAGTGGCACCCGAGCCGCAGCGTGTTCGGCGATGGCCTCTGGAACCAAATCGGGCCCCGTGTGCGCCACGCGGGGGCGACAGAGAGGCAGCCCGCGCTCGGTGTGCCATGGCAAGGCTCTGCCGTTGGGGGATCCGCGCGCTGGGCCGACTCTGCAGTCGCGCGTCGCGCATGCGCAACGCTTCCGCGTTGCGGCCGGCCGCCCCGAGAGCCTGCCGGCGGCGCGCATGCGCAACGCGCTCGCGCAAGCGTTGCGCACGCGCGGCGTCGGCGTTGCGGCCGGCGTCGCGCATGCGCAACGCTTCACTTTGAAGCCTGCCTCGCCTCCCCTTCCCCTGCCTCCCTCCTGGTGTTTCAAAGATGGGGTCCTGAGGGATGGGGTCCTGAGGACGAGGTGCCTCAAAGATGAGGTCCTGAGGGATCGGATCCCCGCGTATACGCAACGCGAGCGCGTTGCGGCGAACGGTCGCGGCGAACGGTCACTTTGAAGCCTGCCTCGCCTCTCCTCCCCCTCCCCCCTCTCGGTGGTTCAAAGATGGGGTCCTGAGGCATGGGGTCCTGAGGACGGGGTGCCCCAAACAGTGTAAATCCACCCTTGGATCCATTCCTATCCTGAGGCCCCCACCCTTCAGGACCCCATCTTTGAACCACCGACCCTCCTCGACAACATCGTGTGCATCCCCTGCTCGTGCATCGGGCGCTCGGCGTTGCCTGTGCTGGTATGATTGTCTATGATTTGTGACGGCCAGGAAACAGCCACCCAGCGGCCCGCCGCACTCCTCTTCATCCTACGTCGTCGTCCTCCTCATCCTCCCTCCTCCTCCTCCTCCCCCTCCTCCTCTGTTCGTCTCCGTGTCGTCTCTCCGTCTTCATCCTCCTCCTCCTCCTCCTCCTCCTCCTCCTCCTCCTCCTCCTCCTCCTCCTCCTCCTCCTCCTCCTCCTCCTCCTCCTCCTCCCCCCGTCCCACGCTCCTGGCGGAGCCAGACCATCTTGGAGGACCTGCCCCGTCAGGCGTGTTTGCTACGCTGTCGCCGCCATCCTGCCTCTCTGGCCCCCAGCGCGGCCGCGCGCTGCCGCAGCTCGCCGACGGGACTCCTCAGATCGATGCTGGGCGAGTGCACGGAAGAGGCCTTGGACGCACAGCGCATTGGGCATGGCCGCAATCTGACTTGGGCACCTGCTTCTAATCGGGAGGAAAAGAAACACACAGACACAATTAATTGCCGATTTCCCAGAAAATATGGGAAAATATGGGAAGTGGGGGGGAAGACAGAAACCCAGAAAATATGGGAAAATATGGGGAATGGTTTTATTTGTGTGTATTTATTTGTGTGTTCCAGTTCCCCTTCATCTAAGCCTCCCAGGCGGGGTCCGAACGGACGGTGTCGGAGGATCGCCCCGCATCACCGGTGCATCGGCGATGCGGCTCGATGAAGAGCCCGCTGTCCTTCCGCGCCGAGGCATCGCCGACGTCGCCGATGCATCGGCGATGCGGCTCGATGAAGAGTCCGCTGTTCTTCCGCGCCGACGTCGCCGAGGCATCGCCGACGTCGCCGATGCATCGGCGATGGCGGCGCCTTCCTCCGGCGCGGGGAGGCGTCTACGGACGCACAGCGCGCCGAGCGCGGCCGCAGGCTGGCCGCGGGCTGACAGCTCCCAGGGCCGTCGGTGCGCTGGCCACACCGCGGGGGCGCGGGGGTATATAGACTGCCCTCTCGCGCCGCACGGCCCAGCCTGATGGGCCTGGTTGTCCACCACCACCACCAGAAGTTGGAGGGGGGGGGAGGAGGAGGAGGAGGAGGAGGAGGAGGAGGAGGAGGAGGAGAGGAGGAGGAAGAAAAGCAGGAGGAGGAGGAGGAGAGAGGAGGAGGAGGCGGGGGGAGGGTGAGGGGAGGGGGAGGGGAGGGGGAGTGGGAGGGGGGGGAGGGGAGGGGGGGAGGAGGGGGAGGAGGAGGAGGAGGAGGAGGAGGAGGAGGAGGACGAGGAGGAGGAGGAGGAGGAGGAGGAGGACCCGCTCCCCCTCCGATTTGTGGTGGAGGCGGTGGAAAGTAAGCCCACCACAGTCCAGAGAGCCATCCTCGGGCACCGCGGTACAGAGGAGGCCCACGCCAAGGAATTCCCGGCTTGCTTCCAGGGCGCCCTGAGCTTCTTGGGTTTCGATGGGCTTGCCATGGAAAGGGTGACGTTGCCACACCAAACATCAACGGACGTCCTGGGGTCTCAGAGTTGGTGATCGTTCTTTTATTATTATTTTTTTGCTTTCGGCGGAAACCCCGACCCCCCCCCCACCGTAGGAGAAGTTAGGGATGATTTTGCAAACTGCTTCAGTCGATCGGGACGAACTACGGCGGGCGGCGCCCCCCCCCCCCCCCCCCGTATAAACCTTCCACAAGAAACCCAATGGGTTTCTTGTGGAGGGTTTCTTCTGGACTGGCCTCCACGGTAAATCGCTTCAGAGCGTTCCGCAACGCTCACAGCGTTCCGAAGCGCTCTTGAACGACCGCGGTGTCGGCCGCATCCACGGATCCCCCATTGATTCCAGTCCAGTTTTTGCCCTCGTGGCTTCGTCTGGCATCCCTTCTCCAGGAGGACGGCGCGATGCCACGAGGCGCGATGCGCGAGCTCGGGAGATCTGGACCTGGTCTTGGAGTAGTGATCATAAGATATCAAAGTAGTTTTGGGCGACCTTGTAGAAGGCATCTTCCTAGGGGTCGAGCAGTCTTGCGTGCGGTTATATCAGAGGGGCGAGACCCGTACAAGGGATGACCTTCACAATGTTGTTGGCCGTAAGGTTGCATTGCTTTCTTTGGGGGTCGCCATCTGCGGCGATGCCAGCTCGTTCATTCTCTCTCGTTTTGACCGTAACGAAAAGGCTAGTGCATTTGCTCTTGGGGCATTGTTGGTGTTGTCTGACAGGCTTCTTGGGGGTATTGCCACCTGCGCCGGTCGAACAGCGCCACGAGGGAAGACCTCGTCGACCTTTGTTTGGGCGCGTCCCTCCTGGAAAGCACTGCTAATTCAACGCACCACTTGCAGTTTCACGTTCACCTCAGGATTGTACAGTGCCGTTTTTAATACATGCTCCGCGTGCGGATCATGTATTTATTAAAAGTGTTGGGATATAGTGTTAAAAAACAACGATGAGCTCATGCATAAATCCATTTCTAAAGTAATCATGTATTAAATCATCTTTTTTTATCCCATGTATAAAAACTGCCCTGTATGACCCCATTCGGTCATAGTCTTAAATTGTGTTTGGCCCCGCTGTGGTTGTGGATGTTCCCTCCCAGATTCTAGAAGACTTCGTGGTGGGCACACCTGTACCGCTTGGGGCCCTCTCGTGTTTTGTGTTATTTGGGAACGCTACCGTAGGCGCGATCGAGCTCACTAAAGCAGCTTCTTCGATTCGTTTCGAGTTTGGGGGGGGCATCTAGGAGGCTATATTGGGACTTGGAGCCGTCTAGAAGTCTAAGGTGGCGCAGCATTTTTCCCGCCAGCAGGACGGGCGGGCAAGGTCGAGGTCCTGGGTTTGGGGCGGTCTCTTGCCTTGTTCTGTCTCCGGAGGCAATGTTTCGAAACCCGGGACCGTGAAAAACTGATCCGGGGCGAAAAGTTACACCAGATGGACCCCGGGAGCGGTCCAGGGATCGATCGGGACCGATTTCGAGCGGATTTGGCTTCACCCCCCATCCTAACCGATCCTCTGGGGTCCCAGCCAGTTCAGACCCTCTGGCCGTCTCCAAACTGGGACCAGGGCGCAGGCTACACTGTGTTCCGCAATGTTGTGGGCCGTGTTCGTCAAATCTCGTTTGGCGGCAAAGGCGGAACGAGGGCAGAGTGGGGCAAAGCGAAGGCAGCGCGAAATCGCAAGACAGCTCGCCGCTTGGGCCCCGCCGCCAGCCCACACGGCGAGCAAAAATCGGGCGTAGCCCCGCACGCATTCGAATGCCCACACTTTGTCTTCGTACTACTCGTATTCCTCCCCGTCCTCCTCCCCATCCTGCTCGTCGTCGTCGTCGTCGTCCTCCTCCTGGTCCTCCTCATCCTCCTCGTCTTCCTCGTCTCCCTCCTGCTCCAGTTCCTCCTCGTCGTCCTCGTCTAGGACCTCGTCCTCGTTTCTCCTTGTGCTCCTCCTGCTCATCCTCCTTCTCCTGGCACCTTGGCGGCCGAGAATAAGAGCGTCTCCTATCGGTTGCGTCATAGGTTACGCCCTCGGCGGCCGAGAATAAGACCGTCTCCTATCGATTGCGCCATGGGTTGCGCCCTCGGCCGCCGAGAATGAAACCGTCTCCGATCGGTCGCGCCATAAGTTGCGCCCTCGGCGGCTGAGAATAAAACGGTCTCCTACCCGTTGCGCCATAGGTTGCGCCCTCGGCGGCCGAGAATAAAAGCGTCTCGGATGCCCTTGGCGCGCGCGCTGGGGTGGCATCTCGCGCGTCTGCCGCGCGCGCATTTCGAATTCCTTCCAATACCTTTACCACCGACGCGAAGACGCCGTCATCGTCGTCGACGTGATCCGCATCGGCGCCGTCACTGGCCGTGCCGTCGTCGCTGTCAGCATCGCCACCAACATCGCTACTAGCATCAGCTTCGTGTCTACAGTTGTCGACGTTGCCATGATACCGCACCCGCCCAAGTCGCCGACTCGCAATCAAGTGCCCGCTGGGATGTGCCGAGCGGTCAGCACCACCGCGGCCGCGTGGGTCGCGCCAAACTACCTGGCCCTTGCGCGCGCGCATGCGCGGGCTGGCACGGCCGCAAAGATGCACCAGCCAGCTCCGAACACTCATCGCAATCGCAGCCGCATGAGGTTTGCAAACCAAGTTGCGGGTGGGTGGGTGGGGTGTTTGCGCGAGCAGTGGAGTGGACAACTCATTGCGGGCAAAAATTAGCTACAACCCATAGGTTGCGCCCTCGGCGGCCGAGAGCAGATCCGTTTCCGATCGTTTGCGCCATAGGTTGCGCCCTCGTTGCGCCATAGGTCGCGCCGTCGGCAGACGAGAATAAAGCCGTCTCCTATCGGTTGCGCCATAGGTTGCGCCCTCGGCGTTCGAGTAAATCCGTCTCCCATCGGTTGCCCCATAGGTTGCGTCCTCGGCGGCCGAATAACAAAACTGTCTCCTAACGGTTGCGCCATAGGTTGCGCTTTCGGCGGCCGAGAATAACACCGTTGCGTTACGAGTGCGGCCAGTCTGTTCAGTTCAGTTCAGTGCAATCCCGCTCAGATCAGTTCAGTCAGTCTACCTCGCGAGAAACAAGTTTGGGCGACGCCCGTAAACAGAAAACTCCGTTTGCTTCGCGCCGTGGTCCGGACCATTTGGAGACCCTCTCGGGGCAGCCCTTGGACCATCTGGAACAGTTCTCGAGACTCTTTAGGGTCGTGTTGGTGGATTGTTGCGGCCTTCCTGGTGCCATCTTTGGAGTCGTCCTGCCCTTCGGAGCACTAGCAGGGGGGAGGTCGTGGGCGGAGACGCTGCGCGACAGCATGCTCCCGAACCCGCGCAGTCTTCGAGCGCCGCTTCCAGGCATCGGGGGGGGGCATCCTGGGGCGGTCCCAACTCACGGGTATCTTGGGCGGCGGTGCCAGCTGCACACAGCGGGGGCCCCCGAACGGTGCGGTGACCGCACCATGAGGTGAGTCAGCTGGGGTGTCGGGGAAGCCACACGGCTGCGGGGCTGGGGCCGCTCTCCGAGGATGTGCAGGGCGACCAGGGCCCCGGAGGTACACC